AACTCTGCGCGGGTGAAATGATGCAAACCGAGGAGAAAATGTCCGCTGTGCACATCCAACAGTTCATTCTGAAATGCAGTCAGCATATACAGAATAACTGCCCGTATGTTCTGTTGGAAGGGTGGCCAGGACTGATAATTATTTCACAAATTTTTCTCTTTCTACAAATTATTCTCTATTTTCAGATGCAAGATGCAATTATATACCCAATTATTGTATCACACTGTCTGTAACAGATTTCAAAAAGTTCCTGGGCTAACAGGGCTTTTGACAGCCTCAAAGCAGATTGCCTTTCTCCTGCGCCATGACTCTATTTTATATTTAATGTTAGCTATGGTCCTCACTCCTTCACAAAGGACAAAAGAGAAATTAGCTATCTAAAGTTAGAGAAGGGACGAGAATCAGGTATTAGCACACAAACTGCTAACACAAATCCCGGCATAAATGTACATACACACCACACACCTTTGTCAAAAAGTTCCAATAAAACAAAATATGGGGATTGTTTTTGGCTCACATTAAAAGCTCAAAGAGAATTTCAATTAAAATTTCAATTAACTGTGGGCTTTTCTGCACTGCATCACTAAGAACAAAATTTAGCATAGCTGTCACTAAAGATTAGAGAAATCAAAGTTAAGGGATTTTGACATTAACAATGTGACTACGCAGCTTTTTTATTTATTGTTCCAAATAATCTCCTTTTAAAGTCTGGAACCCTATTTCCAAGCCATTCGCGTTCTCCCCAACATGGTATGGGAATAGTTAGAAAGGCTACGTGTAAGATAAGGCGACCTTTAAACGTTTGCTGGATCAGCACCGGGTGGGGATAAGGAAAAGATCAAGGGCAAACAGAAGATATTTACAAAAGGGGCACAATCAGTACCGAAAAGCTGATTGGGTGGTTAAACGGGGCATTTAAAAATGATTTATTAATCCATCTGCGCTCTTTCCCTTCCCCCATGTCCTTTAAGAAAGGAATGTTCCTTTCAGAGCGCACCAGGCTGACGCTGGAAATTTCTCTACGCCAAACGGATCCACAGTACAAAAAGCAGCTGATCAAACATACTGGCTCGATCATTTCGGACTTGTTCCTTTTATGTATTTATGGCAAGCCGGCAGTATTTCTGAGGGACCCGAGCCCATCCGCGGCCCAGCAGCAGCGCCCTGGCAGGAGCCTTAAGCAGTGGGAGTTACATAACCAGGCGGTCGGCTCTCATTAGCTTTCTGCTCACAGCCCCGAGCTCCGGCGGCAGCGGCAGGAGGAACAGCATTTTCTGAGCCCGTGAGAGAGCGAAGGAGGAAGAGGAAGGGGGATATCTGCAGGGCCGCAGGGCCCCTCTCTCCGCGCACAGCCGGGCAGGTCCCGCAGGGCGCTGCCGGCGCTGCTGGAGCGGCCCAGCGCCCATTTCTCAGCGGGCAGCGCTCCCTCCTCCCCGCGGGCAGCGAGCCCTCACGGCCCGGGGGCAGCGAGCCCTCACGGCCCGGGGGCAGCGAGCCCTCACGGCCCGGGGGCAGCGAGCCCTCACGGCCCGGGGGCAGCGAGCCCTCACGGCCCGGGGGCAGCGAGCCCTCACGGCCCGGGGGCAGCGAGCCCTCACGGCCCGGCCGCGCTGCCGCTCCCGGCCCCTTCCCCGAGGAGCCCCCGCACCCACCGGGCGCAGCACACCCGCCCAGGGCCGGGGCCGGGCTGTGCCGCCTCAGCCCCCGCCTCACGGCCGGTACTCACCCAGGGCTGCGGGGGTAGTGCAAACAGTCCCGGCGGGGGTGTGAGCGCGGGGGGCGGGGGGGGCGGCGGCTCAGCACCCGATCCCCATCTCCGAGCGCCGGCTCTCTCGGCGAGGATGGGAGGGGAGAGGATAGAGAAGAAAAAAAAAAAAAATCGAAAAAAAAAAAAAAAGGGGGAGGGGGAAGGGTCGGAAAAAAAAAGGGGGGAGGGAAAGGGGGGAGGGCAGCGCTGCTCACACCCCCACGACGGGCGCGCTCGGCCGCCGCAGCTGCAACCCCCTCTGCTTCTGCAGCGCCGCCCGCCGCGCCCCTATTTATCGCCTCTCTTGCCCCGCCCACCGCCGCGCCCCCCGCCCACGTCCCGCGCGGCCACACCGCCCGAGCCCCGCCCACCGCTGATTGGCGCCCGCCTGGCCCCGCCCCCGGCTGCCGAGGCTCCGCCCCCCGGCTGCGCGGGGCCACTCTGACGTCAACGCGCTGCTCGCTTCGCTGCGCCGTTTGACGTCACTGCCGACGTCAAACCCTGCCCTTGCGCCCCTCAGCCCCCCGGGTAGGGAAAGGGGGGCGCGCTGAACTACATCTCCCATGAGCACCGCGGCCCGTGCGGGCCTCGGCAGCGGCGATGGCGGGGCCGCCCGCACGGCTGGCAGCCCCCAGGCCCTGCGGGGAGCGGGCCCGCACATCACCGGCGGCTAAAAATACTCCCCACAGGTAGCAACGCCCGGCCATTGGCTGTCTGCCCGAGCGGCCGCCGCTGATTGGCCAGCGGGAGCGGAGGGGCGGGGCCAGGCCGTGAGGTGGCGGGCGCGGGTGCGATGGCGGCCCTTGAGGGCCGTGGGGCCTCCTGTGGGCTTTGGGGGCACCGGGATGGAGTCCGGTGCATGGGACCCGCCCCAGTGCTCTAAAACATCCCCGGGTTTGCTCTCGAGCGCCCTGAGGGCTGTTCAGGTTTTACTCACAGCGCCAGCAGGACGCGGTTCTGGAGGACAAATTGTGAAGGGCTTTTTTTTTTTTTTTTTTTTCCTTTTTTTTTTGCTCCGCCTCTTGCTCTGTTTGTATAATAAAAAAAACATTTTGGCATAAGCGCTACGTGGGGCCCGGGAGAAATTTGGAAGTGCCAGTCAAAGAAATGCCAGGACTTTTAACCCTTTGTGGCTGAGAGTATATATGAGAATGGGAGGCAGTAACCCAAAAGCTGAAATATTAAGGGGGAGCAGAGAGTAATATTTAGGATTTTGCACAGCTTAACATTTCTGATGGAAGGCTTAATTCATTGTAAAACAGTTTTTATTCAGATGTATCAATGTTGATGCTGCTGGAATTGCAGTATTGCAAACAACTTGAAAGTCTTGATTAAAACTCAAAATATTTACAATTTCCCCGTGTATTTCTCACCCAGTTTTAAATCTAGAGGGTTGAACATGCTTTCAGTGAAAACTGGGTCACTTGTCAGTATGCTCCCCAAATGGAAAATAAAATGTGAAGATTGTAACATTACAAGTGCTGGCAACTGGGAGACTACTGGGAACTAATGTAGCGTCTCTGGGAATCCGAAAGAGAGTCCTGAGTGCTTGTTTTAATCAAAAAGAGACAGAGTGAAACAACTCCCTTATCAGTGTTGGGATCCCTGACTCAGGAAGAATGATGTTTGAACTTTAATGATTTTAGAAGGTTAATTAATTACTTTATTAAACTATATTATATTATAGTTATATTACACTATATTATACTAGCTACTAACTAGAAAACTCATTACTTTCTCCTGAGAGTCCTGACACAGTGGATCCAACTGGTCAATGAATCTAAAACACTAGAATATAATTCAGCAATCACCTTGGGTAAGCAATCTCTATACCACATCCCACAAATGAGATAAGAATTGTTTTGATTCTCTTTTCTCTGTTTCTCTCACAGCTTCTCTGAGGATTCCTCCTGAGAGAGCTCAGTCTGTTCAGAGGGCATGTGAATACCACACTCCCTAAACTGAAAAGGTGAAAAGACAAATAGAGGGGGTTGTTTTGTTTTAGTTTTGGTTTGACATTAGAGCTCAGGAGTCTCCGTGGAACAACAAACACACACTGGCAGGTGACATCAGCCACCGGTGACAGTTCAGCTCTTGCTCTGCTCAGTTCTGGGGAGGCAGCAGCAGATTTCCCTTTGAAGTGGGAAAACCTGCACAGTGCTGCAGATCAGTGTTTTCAGGTGAGATTCCATAAGGAGCTTTACAAACCCGGTAACTGCTGCTGAGCTGCTAAAAAAAGCCAGGTTTCAGAAGCAGAGATTTCTTTTAAGTGGCTTTAGTGCTACATGAGAAGCATTGGGAACTGAATTAAATGTACAGAGCAAAGACGTTGGTAATCAAGGCAGCCATGGGATCCCTTAAAGCTGTAAAACATCGGGATGAGCTTTTCTGGGGCTTATGGAAAGGAAGCTTCTCATGCAGTCCACGCTATACAAAAACCTGGTGTTAAATGCAACTAGACCAATTTTTAGGTCCCTCCCAACCCAAACCATTCTGTGATTCTAAATGTTGATGATGGGTCATTGGCCCAGGAATAACCTCTTCAAGGATCAACCCCACTTGTAGTGTTCCAGTTTCGATTTATCCTTTTTGTCTGAAAAAATAAACTTTTAAACTGCAGTGATCACAGTGTGGTCTACATAAGGCATGTCAGAGGTAAGTGGCCAAACTGTAGTAGTGTTAAATTATTAACACCAAAACCCAGAGTTTAATCCAGGATCATTTTTATTCTTAAAGCCTCCACTGGATTTTTGATCCACAAGGGTCAGAGTAAGGCCTGCAGTGTTTTTCAGCCCTTTTGATTAATACACAGCAATAACAAAATGTCTGCCTCCCTGCTAGAAAATCTTTAAAAATGCAATCAATACAAAATAACCCCAGCAGCAAAATATTACTCATGTTGCCAGTTCTATTCAGCTGGAAGATTAATGTTAAAAGAAAAGAAAAACTATATATTTTCATCTCTCCTGACAGACCTTGACAAGTCTTCTCCCCAGCAGAGCAAATCCACACAAGTATTTCAGAGCAGGGCAGGAGGCAGAAGTGAGATTAGAAGTGAGGAGACTCTCTTAATCTATATTAAATAAGAAGGGTTTGATCTCATGCCCTATTCGTAGCCAGATCCTGTAATATTCGCCAGCAGACAACCATCAGCAACTGAACTACAATTTCCACAGTCTGGGTCTCTGCAGAATAATCTCCAAATCTAAGATCTCTGCATTGTAAAACAACTACATTACCACAAAACCTTGCAGAGACTGCACAGACTTGACAAAGAGACCTTCTTTTCTGATAAAGAAATCTAAATTTGATTTCTGAAATAATAACTAGCACTCTTTAAAAATCTAAATTAATATTGTTTATTGATCAACACATCCAAATCCAAAATACAGTTTGTTAATTTTAAAAGTTGTTTAAAGCAATTATATATAACAAAGAAAATTTTTACTAAATATGTCAACGAGGACAACAATTTGAAAGCTGCAGGAAGGCAGGCTCAGAATTTCCACTACCCATCCTTTTCATAGAATCCTCTTCTCTGCTAAATTAATGTTGAAGTACAGAATATATAGGATTTTTCCTGATGGTGGACATGAGGCTTTGTATCATACATTCCCAAATAGAGTACAGTCTCTTTTTTAACATTTTCCTATTTGGAATCAAAATTCTCCTTTTAGCGTGGGAGCCAGGGCTTTGATCTTGAAAAATTGGAAAGCTTTCCTCATTGTATTCATCCCTCTCTAGCCCAATTTTATCCGTTTGCTGATTTTAACATGTGTTCCTTTTCCCCACCATCCATCAGTGTGAGCAGCCAGGCCTGGCTGCTCTCCAGCAGATATCTTAGCACCGAGTTTGAAATGGAATGTAGATTCTCTTACATTTCACTTTACCAGCAGTGATTTTTTCCATAAATACTGATTAGAAAGGGGATCTGGACCTATCAGGTGTTGCCCAGTACCAAAAGCTCTCTGACCACAAAAGTTTTTTGAGGTGGGAAACCACAAAATCACCTTGTAAGTGACGTTGTTTCAATGGAGTAAAAAATAAGCAGGAGCAGAATTCAGGCAAAACACCCAGGTCACCTTCCAGGAGAGCTCCAAGTTTGTCTCTAATCCTGTGAATATGTAATTTTTCAGGGCCAACATCAGTAGAAGGAACTGGTCTGCAGGAGATTAGAGCTCAGAGCTCACAAGGACATCACCCTCTCCTAAGTGGAATGCTACCAATATTATAGCTTACCTAGAATAAGTTGATAGAATCCCGAGCAAGACACAGAAAACAGCTTTTGGGTAAGAAGGAGAAATAAAACCAGGAGAAATAAAGATTTTGCACCAAAGCTTTTTTCTTCTCAAAGTTTCATCCAGCTTCAAGGATGAAACTTCAAGTAAAAATGTGGGTTGTTTGTTTTGCCTGAAGATGGTATAAGGTAGGATCTGCTCTTGAAGAGGAGCTTGATAAGCGACATTTTCAGAATGGGGTATAGATCCTGAGAAGGCCAGTAAAAAAGAGTGAAGTAAAAAAGAGGAGTAAGTAATCTAAAACTGCTGTGAAAAGTAATGGTCACAAGTAGAGGCAAACTGTAAAAAGAGGGAGAGGGAATGGGAAATATTTTATGAGCATCAGAATTTCCTATAGCTGTGAAGAAATGGGCTGAAGAAGGAGGAAGGAAGATTGATTTCATACATTACAGAGGTTGACCTTTGAAGAAAGTTTTATTAAAATCCAATATAATTTTTTACTCAAGTTCACCTTTGCGCTGGGAACCTGCCAGTTTAATGTCAGTTAGTTGTGCAGTATCTGTTAATAGATAAAATTATGAGGTGAGGACTGTCCTAGCCGATAGCCATGGAACTTCTAAGTTAATCAGCTTCAAGTGCCTTACTATGCTCATTCCAAACAATGATTCATAAACAGTTTTAAAGAGACAGAAAGCTGCTTTTTAAACTGTCAGTACTTTCATGGGGATCAAAAATAAACACTGAAGATGAAGGGCTGGTCTTTTGCCTTTTCAATCTCTGAGTAGATGAAGGTAGCTTAAAAACATCTCACTAGGAATTTACTGAAGAATTTTGTGTACTTAGCATTTTCCAGGAAGGCAAGTAAATATTTGTTTTCCTGAAAATGGAATTCCAGGAAAACTGTTCAGTCTTATTCAAGAGAGATACTGAATGTGAAAAAACTAGGTAGTAAATGGGGGAAAAACGTCTGTACAAAGAAATAACTTTCATTCAGTCCATTTAAAATGAAAGAAAGAGCAATAGAGTGGTGGTTGTTTACCAAAACGGTCCAATAAATACAAAAATTCTGCTACTTTTTCTTTTTCATTCTGATTATCATCATCTAGGGTAAAAATAATATCATCTGAGAACTAACAGGGGTCTCTTTTTGAAATAAATGGAAACTCTATTTAGGCAAAAATCCAGCCAACACCACCTTTCCTGACTAACCACAATGCCCTCTAATCCAAATCTGCACCCTTTGGCTCTCCCAGCAATGCTTTGTGTTCACTTAGCATGGATCAGTGAAGCCTTCACTGTTTTCCAGGTCTTCAACAAAGTGATGTAGATGCACCTTGAATGAGAAGGGGAGGAAGGATGCTTCCATGCATTGTCAATTTATTGTCAAGATTGGAAGGTGCCTCAATTTTTTGCAATAAAATCCAGAACAAAATATAATTTTAACATCCCCTGAAGATCACCCTTGGTTCTTGCCTAAGAATTTAAAACAACCAAGAACAGTGCAGTAAGAAGCCATCCTTATTTTAAGCTTTCAGGCAATCCCTTTTCTCTGGAGCTGTGGCTGTTGACTGGGTTTCTTATGCCTTTCTGCATGCTATTCCTATCAGTAACAGTGTTTTATTCTGAGCACAGGGCTTGGAGAGTTTAATTAGTGACTACCAGGTGACAGAATATCACCTTTAGGAAAGGCTCTGGTTAGAGGTGTTGATACTGGGGCTGAAGGCAGTCTGATTGGAGAAGTGCTGAGTTAACCTGCTGTGCTGTCACGCTGGGACAGTGTGAGTGACGGTGACTTCAAAGTAAATGAGTTCAAATGTCTGTGTCTTGATAAATACAGTCCTCATGAGAAGATCATGAAAATATCTGCATTAAAAACAAACAAAAAACCAACCAAACAAAACCCAACAAGGGTTTTTTTCTTTTCAGCTGAACAGGAACCCAGTACTTGTGCAGACATGAAGAGCTAGTTGAGTGGAAAGATGTCAGGATATGACAGTGGAAGGTTTGACCCTGAATCTTTAAGGGTATTATCTATGGGGGAAAAAAATTCAATGGAAAATTCTCTTTGAGCTTGCTGTGCTACAGATCTGGTCCTTACTCAGCTCCTGTTAAAGTCCATTGAGTCACAGGGACAGGAATAATGGAAGGGAATGAAGATTCAAGCTGTGTGTTTGCTCCTGACACATACATAGTAGATTTTACACAGGTTGTGCATCCTGTTGATGTAAAGAACAGTTCATGGGAGACTCAGTCTGTCACTGGCATTGAAATGATCACTCAAACAGTAAATCACCCATTTCCTCTCCAACTTCTGATTCCTAAAGGTGTAATTCCCAACATAATATAATAAATGCCTTAAAAGATTAAGCAAAAGGTCATGTCAGCATAACATCTTTTCTGAACTGATGTCTAAAGGCTGCATAAAGCCACAACTTGAAATCCCCCAGGATAGTGCTCATGGGACTTGCAATAACACAATTTCACAGAGATTCTTCTGTTTCACAGGTCACAACTCTTTACCCTGTGATGGAGCCACCCTTGTGTACCTACAAATATATGACCCGCTTCATGAGAACAGAATGTTTTCTCTAGAACACACATCCCAGTAGGAGCCATTATCTCATGTGCTATTATTAATGCAAAGACTTCAGACATTCCCTGCACACAGCAGTGGATCTGTGCAGCCTCAAGAGCAGCTGTAACCAAGATCTTCAGAAGCAGGGATAAAACAGCCATGTCACACAATTACATTGAGTTTGGCAATGGGAAGAAGAGATTTCTGCTTGATCCCATATGACGATTTTCTTCCATGCTGGGAAATGAGCACTTGGAGTGACATACTTTTTATTGTAGCTAATGGAACTCAGATTTCTAAAGAAAGTGATTCTGCTGTGTGACCATATTATCTAAATTGCTTTGTCGCCAACGCATAAAAAACTGAATATAAAATTGCCTGAGTATAATTGAGTGCTGACTCACCCCCTGATTAGGGTAAATGGTGCAGTGTTCCAGGGTGCCTTGGAGCTTTCTATAGTCTCACAATCCTATGTGAAATCTCTTGATTGATTTTTTCCTCCTCCAAGCAAACTTATGTTTCATGCTCCTGTTTGAGGCTAGATGCTACAAATCCAGCTGCTGTCACAAGACATCTTCCCCCTGCTTCGTTATCTTGATCAATTTTCTGCTGAAACTCATCTTTCATCCTGGCTGGTGCAGTTGCCTCCCTTGAGATTATTCCAACTCCTGGCTCTCCATATTCATAGCTCCAACTCTAACTCTCTAGTTTCTAAGGCTATATAGCTGAGGATGTTTTCTCACAAAAAGCTGTTCCATAAATTCTCACAATTTCATTTCAGTCTAATCCAAGACTGCATACACACATGACACTTCTCAGAATAAACTTTTCATAAAACTACCTGCATACATAAGCAAGAAAATACAGACCTAAGTATTTTAAATGGATTTTTTTTTTAATCTTGAAAATAGCCTCATACTCATTTGGAGGTATAACAGTGTAATTATGCTTAAAACTAGAAGAATTCTCAGGTTTTGAAATTTAAATATAAGAAGGGCAATTGTAAGAAGCAATGCCAGAGACCTGAGGTGAACTGAGCCACGGATACTGGGCAGAGAGCTCAGATTTAGCTGACTGTGGCAGTAAGTTAAACCAACACTTGTGCCTTGGATGATCTCTGTTTCAGCTCTCCCTCAGGTAGTGAAAAGAAAGAGAAGAAGAAGGGCTATGACCTAAATGAATTACAGCAATTATTAACCAGCAATCTTGCCTATGAGGATTTGCAAAACATGCCAGCCCTGAGCTGGAGGATCTGGGAGTGAAACCAGTCATGGAAGTGGCAGAAATTGGTTTTGTTTCCAGTTATCTATGAATATCTCCTTTCTGGCTGGCTGAACTATTGAGCAACTGTTGAAAACCGAGTAAGGAAGAGGCTGAAATTTATTTCCTTTATATGTGGAACTGGTTTCATATCAGAAAATAAAGAGTGACTTCAGCACATGCATCTGACTTAGATTCTCCAGAAACACTTGTTGCTGCACAGCCCACCTTGTTCCTTGGCAGGAATTGTAACTTTTGTTGTCTGATAAATGGTTTACCTCAAAGAGAATAAAGCCCATTTATCTCCAGCCCCAGAGATATAGTAATGCAATTGTTCCTTCACCAGGAGATCTGCTCCCTGGAAATTCTCTTCTGAGTTGGATGGTATTTTCTTCAAGAGTTTCCTTCTGTAGAATAAAAAGAAGTTGAGTTGAAATGCATTTCCAGAGACAATCCCTTAAGAATAAAATTCATTGTAAAAAAAACACCTTAAATTGGTAAGGAGGAGTAAATCTAGAATTTAGAGTTGATCTAAAGCTGGGTTAGAATCCACCCTGACAATGCCTCTGCTCAGTTGTGCAAATCATATTTTACTTGCTCGACTGTGAGTTGCTGGGCAATGGGATGTAATTTTCCATGCTTGCTGTTGGCACAGGGTTTTACCTTGACTTGCATCTGATAGTGCAAGCTCTGTCAACATTGTTTCACCTCTTGGAAAATAGTAATTAAGAAGCCTGGATGATAGGCATGTATTAGTACCCAAGAATTCATGGCCAGCTCCACTTTAACCTAGTCACCATCGTTTACTACTCTGCCACAAAATGTCTTTTCCAGGTTTACCTGAAGATGTAAGAAAACTTTAGGGGTGCCAGACATTAGGTTGACTTCAATCTCTCTGAAAACAAATCCTTTAAAGTTTAGATCAAGGAGTCTTTTAATGAAACAAAGAAATCTTGCAGGTATAAATAAGTCTGCTAGAAATAAACAGAAGCAAGACTGGTGCATGCAAAGAGAAACTCCTTTTGGAACAGCACCACAAGCTTTGAAAAAGCAGTTTCTAAAGTGTCAGAAAGCAGCCTGTTTCTTGTGCTCTGCTCTCTGAAGAGCAGAGGGAGCACAACACATGGGATGGAAAGGGAGTCCCCAGGCAATGGGGACACTGATCTGTGAGCTGGGCAGTGCACCACTTGCATCCAGTTTGAGAATCCCAGAAATAGCCTACCTGACTCAAAGAAGGTTTGGAAACCTCTCCTCAGGTTCAGCACACCTTGATGCAGGAGGAAGGAGAGCCCCGTGTGGGTGGGCTGGACCTCTCTCCAGGAGCAGCTCTCCCACAGCTCCATCTCTTCATGGCTGGATCCCAAAGCCCTGCCAACATCCATCGTTTCCCACACCAAATAATTTAAATAAACGTCCCCAGTGTGGGCTCAAAGAAATGCAATAAACATCATTTGTGTGGCTCCGTGGGATCTCAGCTAATGGACTGCCTGGAAGGACATGCTAGGCAAATGTGCTGCCTCTGGCTTCCCACACTGAAATTCACCTTGCACCCCATGACAGCCCACCAGTGCTATACCCTGCTTCTGCCTGTTGTTCAAGCTGCAGGTACCACCTTTAACCAAGCAATAGCCAAAAAAAGACATTTTAAGTGACTTGTGGTGTCTGCTGAGCACCAGCTGCCCACAGTAGAACAGTAATGTTCTGCTGTGTCTCTGATCCCGATGCTCCATGCTCAGGTCTCCTGGGTCCCATTCTGCTGCAAAAGCCCAAAGCTACAGCGAGAGGAACAATCTAATCTGCCAGGGAAATAAAACAGTTGATGACTCATAAAAACAAAAGGGACAGATATTTGGAAAGGAAAACAGCAGAACAGATTCAGGTGTAATTGTGAGTCCTACCACAGGAGTGCCTGGACAAGTAGTGAGTTCTGCCACGTTCTTCCACTTGAGCCCTCAGCCAGCTTCAGTGGGGCCAGGACTCAAACCTGTGGTTCCAGGCAGCCTTAATAAAGCTTGGATCTGAATTAAACCTCCCTTCTGCATGCCTGGGGATATGGTGGCATGTGGCAGCCTTGGCTGCTTCGGCTGCCCTGGAGCATGTGAAGGAACATGCTCATGAGTGACAGCCCAAAGCAGAGGGACAGACCTGTGTGCAGCCACAGGAGCTGGGCTCTGCTGGAGTCTGAGACAGCCTGAGGGAGAAGGAGCTGTTCACAGGTTTCCCACTGGGAGCTGATGCCAAAATCAACTTTTCTGAAGGCGGCAACAAAGAGTTGATTTAGTGACCCTGGGCAACACAGGGATGGATGCATGTGTGGCTCTAGGGGAGGAGGATGGGGGGCTGAGCCCACTCACCTGAACATCCACCTTCCCCGGGAGGGGCAGCAGGTGTTGTCAGTGGCTGCTCTTCAGGGGAGAAGGACCCCAGACTGGCTCAGACACCCCTGTGATGCAGAGGGGTGGGGTGTCCTCCCTGGGACTGACGGGACCCCCCCATAGCCCAGCTGCAGCACTTGGGCTGTCTCCTCTGTGCCCCCTTCTCTCTCCCCAAGGCAGCGTAACAAGGCCAGTGGAAATCTGAAGAAGAGAGATTTCCTTTACTCAAGGATTCCTATTCAAAGCAACAGCTATTGACATATTTTTTCTATTCCTATGCTTGGCAGAAGTTGATAGTATTTATTAAGCTGATCTTAGGCACCAGAGCTGGATGCTGACTCTTGATACACAGGCAATCATCAGAGCCTGTTGTGTTTGCATGAATGTATTAATCCTGCCTCTGCTTCCTGAATGCACAAAGCAATGTTTAGGACCACTCATCTCTGAGACACTTGGAGATGGCTGCAGAGGGCAAGACAATGTTTTTAATATGGAGAAGTCCAAGACAAAGTATTTTGGTACCTCAGGATTATTAACATTTTCAAAAGTCTGAGAAGCCACTAACATTTATGAGACATTACAATCAAGATTCATTCTCCCAAATGAAGAAAGAGCTCCTGTTGTTCACATACACTCTAGATATTGATAATTTTCTCATTTTCTGATATGACAGGGCTTGGGGATTTTTTCCCCACTGAGACAATATGACTGACAGATGGAGATAAGAATTCCTCATAAAGAGAAGCAATTCATTTGTACGCAGCTGAGGCTGGAAGAAAGCAATAATTCTCCTAAAACATAGGCACAGCCCTCCAGAATGGCTGATTATTTCCTTCAAGAGTCAGTCATCACTGACCAGAATGCCAGGCATGCCTTCCCAAGCCAAGATGTGAGCTGAGATGAGTGCAAACAAGCACTCACCCCTCTGCCCACCTCCTAGGCTGCTGTTGGGTGCTGAAGGCTGATCCCGGGTGCTACCCTGGGATACCCTGACCATGGTGGGTCAGACCAGCAGAGTGTAACCAGCACCTCTGTCAGGGTGAGTCCAAGCCACTGTCACAGAGGTGGCACTTGGCACAGGCTTAGTTCAGTTCTAGGGTCATTCTCAGCAAGCCCTGGGGTGCTTGGAAAGCCCAGGGGCAGCAACTTGGGGCAGGAGTTAGAGATGCCACTGCAGAACCCATCTGGAATCTGCCTTAAAAAAGAAAAGACAATAAAAAACACCAAAATCCCCTCGAAACAACAACAATAATAAAAAGAAAATCAAAACAAACAAACAAAAAACCTCCCACCAAACCCCCCAAAAACAAAGCCAGAAAAACTGCCTCCAACTCTTGGGCCAGGACACAGCCTTGGAGCAGCAGGAGAGCAGGAGTGCCCATTCTCAGCGTCACCACCACTTCTGTCCCCCTAGAGCAGCTTTGCTTTCTGCAGATCCTCTGGGACTGTCTGGCTTTTCCCCTGCTACACCACATCTTGCAGTGCTGTGGCTGCAGTACTGGTACACACAAGCCAAAATTTACACCCCTTTACCTGCTTTCCTCCCAGCCTCCTCTTTCAGCTTTCTCCCCTCTCACTATCTGCATATTCTGTTTTTCACTACTGTTCCTAATGGCTTCTCTCTATGCCAAGTCCCATCCTACTCAGCTCTATTAAACCTCAGACCTCGGGCAGACCTTTTCTTCATTGGTCTCCCAGCCACCTTTTATCTCTTCGACTTCTAGGTTCTCTTTGTTTGTGCTTTTCTCTCTGGATCTGGGAATTATTCTGCTTCAGTTGATGCATGGATCCAGGCCCTGATATTTTGTTGAGCCCTGTGGGATCTCTTCTGTTTGGTGGGTGCAGTGGTGGGTACAACTGCTGCCAGCACCAGCAGCACCCAGAGGCTGCAAAGGCCTTGAGAGGCTGATGTGTTATTTCAAGCAGTAGGAAACTCATCCTGTACTAGACATTGGCTTGAGATAGACATTATCCCTGGAAGATACCAGCTCTAGAGAGACATTTTCCATGGCATACCTGCCCACAAAGAGATCCTGACTTCATCTACCAGAGGAATTGATTGTACAGGACTGTGCTGCTCACTGGAGGATGGCACAGCAGAGAGAATGGCATGGGGTCACCACTGCACGTTTTGTTCTTCTGGTGCCTCAGATCAGTATCTCAATAAAAAGCTTCAGATCTGAGCAGCCCCTGCCGGTAGCAAGTGCTCCTCCTGGAGCACAACAGCTCCTGAAATACACGTGCCAAGTGGATCTTTTATTTGCAAAACAAATGCTATTGACCATCTATGAACCTTGGCTTAGAGCAAGGCAAAAGTAGCAGGAAAATATACCACCATGGGTGAGTGAAGGTGCTTAGTGAGGAGTAGGGCAGCCCTGAATTATAGGGCAGCAGTGAGCAAGTGATTTAACCTTTTCTTTTTTGCCTCCTACTGATTTAGTCTGGAAGCATTTCTGCAGGCACTTTGTCCTATTATATGGTGATAAAACGCTGGACTCAATAACTGAGATCTGCTGTCTGCCATCACAGCAATACAAATAACAATAAAAGAAACAAAATAGAAGTGAGTCAGGCTGGTTTTCACTAGGAAAAACATCAGTTATTTTTATTACTCACCAGCTCTCCTCCAGGATAGCCTGCTGGCCACCACTGAGGCTGCCATTGTAGGAGGGCTGTATTTTGCTCAGGTCCTCCTAAAAAAGGTTCTCCCTGGGGTTTTGGAGTGTTGGTGGTTGCACATCCACATCAACAGGACCATGAGTATAAGCAGCCTTTTTGCCAAGCAGCTGAGCCCAGTGAAGACACAAGGCTGAAGAAACACCACAGCATGGAGAGCCCATGGTTAGGATGGACAATCCTCGAAGCCCAGGTCTTCATCTGGGGGGAAAAACAGAAGAGAGAGGCTGGAGGGGGGCCCTGAGGCTGGCTGAGGTCACCCACAGGCTCCTGCAGGCTTTGTCATGCCCTGCAGAGCATCATCACAACAGCCTTGATGCATCCAAAACACAGACAAGCAGCCAACTCCAGCTGGAAGTTGATTCCTGCTATTGAGATTTGTATTTATTAATTTGTAGCCCACTTGCTTTCTTTTGGCACAATTTTTTTCTGCAAGTGAAAAATTTCCCCTGAATCACTGCGTGTTATTTCCACTTGTCAAGATAAAGGTTAATGAAATACCAGTAACTGCATCACAAATCCAGCTCCATTTCTATCCAGGATTTTATATGGCAAGTTGTACTGCACAGCCTGTTCTTAGAAAAGGCTGTGATTAAAAAAACTAAAACTGTCAGAGGTCAAGAAATTCATAGTTAGAGCAGCATAGCTTCTGCCCTTCAGTCCTCACATCTCACCTTCAGGACAAGGAATAAAAAACCTCCTGGAACTGGCACAAACAAATGTGGGATGAGATTTCCTCCAACACACAGGATTCTGCAGGACTGTGGTATTTAAACAACATTTTCATTTGTAAATGTTGCCTGCATCTGGATAGTGGTTACTTGGGTAATTATACACTACATAAATAATATATAAATACACAAATACCATAGAATCATAGGGTATCCTGAGTTGGAAAAGACCACAGAGTCCTATAAATATATATAGAACCTAGAAGCAACATGATGCTACAATTGACATATATCTGTCTTCAAAGAGATTTGCACCAGAGTCAGAAGGAGAATTTGACATACTTGCTGCACAGAGGTTTTCATGCCCTGAACGTGAAACCACCAGGACTGGCTGAAGGACACTCTGTGCCCAGGGACTGTGGAGCTGAGACCAATTTTAATGCTGCAAACACCTTGTGAAGATCACTGGCACAGCCTCACTCCCCAAATGAAACACTTGAAAACACAGAAGATGCCCCTGTCCAGCAGCTGTTGGGGCATGTGAGGTGTCAGGAAGGAAGGGAGGAGCTGCTTTGTTTTCTTCCTAGGGAAGGCCAGCACTGGGATGAGTGTTGGGAGCTGCCATCTGGGGTGAGTCAGGAGATTAGCATGGGGTGGGTTGCATTAATACCAGCTTGAACACATGCCAGAGAGGACTTCCAAAATTCACAGCCAGTTATTTCTTGTCACAGAGTTAAGAGAGCCTATAGCCTGTTCTCCCACTTTGAGGCATGCCATCAAAAGCCTGCGGAAATTATTCTGAGAAGGTTTGTTTGTTCTGTAAATATGTATTTAAAATCTTGAATACAGATGACTAAGTTTGAAGAAAATAAAAACCAAAACAAAACCTTCTAACAGAGCAAGCCCTTTCACAGAGGATCTTATCCCTTCTTGGAGGTGGATTAAAAAGTATTGTTATGAAATCCCAGTGCAGGTTTTATTACGGGCTAAATCAAAAAGCTTTGGAGCTTTTGGAATTCAGATCTGAAGTTCAGTGTTTCAGCCCACATGCTCCATATAAAAGTAAGATAAATGAAAGAATGTACTTTTTCTTCCTTCTGATATGCAAAGATTCAGCTGAAATGCTTACTTTCCAATTTGCTTTTTCAGTGGAAATTGACTGGAGATCCTATCAACATGAAATACCCCGTGAAACCCGAGGAGCTCCTGTAATGATGGATGACATCAAGAGCCAAAAGAATATGTACAAAGCGTCTGCAGAAAGAGATCCTTAATCACGCTGTGAAGCCTGTTGATTTGTTGCCAACTACTTAACTTAAAGCTTGTGTTGTCATATATCTAACTTTAAAGTTTAATGTACCAGTTGGAGAAAGGAAATCTCTGTTAAAAAATTCAGTCCTGTCCCTTCAGCTGCAGTGTGAGCAATGACACACTTGGTTGGATGCTCTCAGCAAGTCCCTCATTAAAACAGTAGCACCAGGTGAGATCTAATTCTCCTAATATTTGTAGACTACAATGGAAGAAGGAAAATATTTGAGATTTTCTGTATTTCTGAAGACTAGGTTAAAGAAAGAACAACAACAAAACAGTGAAAATTGCTCTCCAGGTTACATGCTAGACCTCTCTCATTTACAAATATTTTACTAGTGAAATTGAATATCAATGTTATTTAAATTTTTTTTAAATTGCCCACTAGATGGCTGTAATTGTTATGGCCATGCTTAATTTTTGGTATCAAATTCCCATCTTTAAAAAAATCTGTTCTTGTTTTTGTTGTTCTTCAGCACGTGCTCTCACTCTCCAAGGCAGTGTTTGCAACGATGGGGTCCTCACCTTGGAAATTTCAGCTGTTTATAGGAAGTTTAGTTGTTCAAAATGACCACTGCAATGGGCTTATATAACATCTAAGGCACAGAGATCCACCGCCATTTTGAAGGATAAAGTGGGAATTCATTTTTCATTATTGAAAGAAATACTTTGTTTTCTGCTATTACAAGGAACGATCAAAGACTCTGAGCCTTTGGAAAGAGTTTTCAATAGTGTGGCATTTAATACGAGCAGCTTGTGATTACTGCTGGAGCACAAAACCATTGTAAATCTGATGAAGGAGAGCCCAGAAGGCAGGATTGAGCATCTTCCGTGTCCTAGATTCAGCAGAGGAGCTGATGTGAAAAAGAAGCAGGATCTGCTGGAAGGAGAGCTCAAACGATGTATCACAGGAAATAAAATTTCCCTGCTGTTTGCACAGGCTCTAGTCCAGGAGCAGCAGTGCGTCTGGGTAGAGGATTTGCAAAGTGTTTGCTGGCTGTGCTTCCTCTTGCAGTTTTCCAGAAGATCCACCCAAAGGGAATAGGCTCAGGTGCAGAGGGAGACTTTCCCCATTTAGCCAGTGAGCAGGGCACCGATGCTTCCTCTGAATAGAAATGCCTGAATATAAACATCGACATATCTTTGGCAGCTCTTGACTACAAGATATGAAAAGGGAACTGCCTGTCTACTGTTTTAAGCCAAACACAAGTTCTAAGCAGCATGCAGAGACATTTGCAGGAATTCTCCACCAAGCATGAGCCAGTAGAGAACCCCCAAGGCATTGCTGCAATCAAGTTCATTGTAATGCTAGCTGAACACCTTATAAAGGTATGTTAATCAAGAAAGAACAGTGAGATTTCAAATTCCCCTAAGCTGTAAATAATGACAAAGTGCTCAAGCAAAATATCCCTCATTCTACATGGGTCCTTACTTCTAAGTCTTCTGCATCCACAAAACAGGGTTAAATCAACACTGGGACAAAAGGATGAAAAAGTTAAGTACTCCTCAGGAAGATGGACATCTGTTTTACCCTCTCTTCCTATTCTCTTTAAAGCAATTCATATTATCATCCTGTGAAACAATCTGAATAAGTCCCTGGAACTCAAGACATTTCTTTTGAGATCCTCTGACTTGCTGATTTTTCTGTCTGTGTCTCAGTGAATCTTGCTGAACAGGTTGAACCAAAATGATCTTCTTCCAAACATTCTGCAAATAGATCAATGCCATATTCTGTATCAAACACCCTACCTGGAGCCCATTTAATAAATGGATGTCTTTGCTATGAAATTACAAACCAGAACTTCATGTGGCATCATACCCATATAGATTTGAAATAATTTCACTCTCAGCAGAGTTTTCGGCATTGCAATAAGAGCAGTATAAATAGCCACAGTCCCTGAGCATTGCAAAGGACAGGGATTAAGGTCAGCAGCCACACTGCAGTGGTTGGCCTTTGAAAACTGTCTGGAGCAGACTACAGAAGGTGCAGGGGACCCGGGGCTCCCACTCAGCTGTAATGGGGCTGTGCATGCCTTGTATTTCTTGATAATCACTCTGGGGGGATTTGAGCAAGAAACAGATGTGTGGAAACCTGCAAGGTACTTCTGAATAACAGCAGCTCTCCTGCAGAGAGGACAAGGCTGGCTCTAGACCACAGCACCTGCATGGGGCAAAGTTCCCTCCTTGCTCCTGTTGTCCCAGCAGAGCACGACTTCCCACCAGTTCACCTGCTCAGAGGAAACTCCATACCACAGGGATTTGCTGGGTAAACAACAAATCACCCCTGAGATACCAGCACTGGAGAGAAATAGAGAAAGAGCTGCAATGGGTGCTCCTCACCTCATGTCACTCACCCCAAGAAGGTGTTTGGGTCTTTGGTATTTTTAAAGCTGACAGAGAGAGCAGGTTAAATTAGGTACAAAGAAGAAATTCTTCCCAGTGAGGCTGGTGATGTCCTGGCATGGATTGCCCAGAAAAGCTGTGGCTGCCCCATCCCTGGAAGTATTCCAGGCCAGCTTGGAGCGACCTGGTCTGGTGGAAGGCATCCCTGCCCATGGCAGGGGCTTGGAACTGGATGAGTGTTAAGGTCCCTCCCAGCCCAAGCCATTTTATGAGTCTGTTTGGGAGAGTGACACACGTAAGATGCTGAAATACATTCAGGTACCTCAGAGTGTCATCTGAATTGTGCTAGAGATACACAGCTCAGTCAGAGCTGGAGGGAACCACGGAGGCTGAGAGTGACCCTGTTGGGTCAGAGGGCTGCTCACTTCCTCAGGCTGAGTTACTGTCACTCCAGAGCCAGAACCCCCTCTGGACAGCACACCTGGCATCAGATGGGCCCTGGGGTGGGTCACACTCTTTCCAAGAAGGGACCCTGTCACCTTCATTGGTCTTATCTGGAAATTGCTCCAAAAAGAAGCATTTTGTGAGCCTGAACAAAAACACTGGGGAGCACTCAGCAGCGAATTCTTTCACATACTGCCTTTTTGTTTTGTATGATTTCCGAGGTTTCTGGCAAAAACATTTCCTCTGACTGTTTTCCTTCTAGAAACAGCCTTCTTCCAGACAGGGCTACTCTGCCACTATTTAGCTGGGTAGACACAGGGCTATTTAAAACACAGAGCTGGAACATTAGCAAAGCACTTGTCTCATTCCAAGACAAGCAGGGAAGGGGAGAGTGCAACCTTACTCATCCCTGGGAGGCTTGTGCCTGCATCATGCTGATTTGTGCTGAATTTAAGGCTTCTGGGGATGAAGTCTGTGGCAAAATCTGACAAGATTTTTTAGAAGCTGCTAGTTCACAGCCTGGAGTATTTATGATTTTTGGCTGCCAGGTCTCACATACGTTGCGGTCAGCAGTTTAATTCCTTACCAGGCTCTGTACAGTGCTGTTCAAGCAGCAACCATCAAATCTGACGTTTTGATACTGCCAGGGTAATTGGGTAATTTTTTTTTTCTTCCCCTCCCACCATCTCCAATCCTCTATTCTGCTGGGACATGCAGAGTCATAGCTCTGCTGGCTTGGCTTCCTGCCACCTCACTGCTCCTTTAAAACCCCATACCTCCCATTGAAGGAACTCAGTGTCCTGTTCACCAGGAGGACGTCAATGTTTCTATGGAAACTCTTCCCAAAGATTCTTGCTCCGCGCTGCCGCTGCTGCGTATTGTGTGACTGGCTTTGTACACTGCAATTCATTATCCAGGCTGTGACGAAAAGGGAGCAGCGTTCTGCCCAACAGGAAAAAGCATTAAGGGAAAAAAAAAAAGACCCAAAACACTAACACCCCTCCTCCACCACCCTAATATTAATTAAATAAGTCACTAAAACCAAAGGTGCTTAAATCGTTTGGCATTTGAGCTATGAATGGAATCCGCTTGCCTATGCCCCTTGCAGTGAAAAATACCCTTTCCTGAATAATTAACTTAGCTGAAGAAGCTTATAAATTCTTTGTAAGGTCCTTTTTCCTTCCAAATAGTGAGAAGAAAATTTTCCGCCCCTCACAATTACAATCCCGATGATGGATGAGTATCACGTAGGTAACAAATGTGCCTGAGCAGGAACCCTGTGCATGAACTGTGTGGAGAACAGGGGAGGCTCAGACCCAGGCTCAGATTTTGCATTTGAATTAATATTTGCAAAGGGGATGCAGAATTAGTAGGCTGAAGGAAAATTCACATTAATTTCTCATTTGCCTCAATAACAGGAAATATCTGGGACCAGCGGAGAACATGATGACAATGTTTACAGACATGTCCCTTACTAATGATGTACAAAGCCAGATTACTCACCCCTTGCAGATGAGCGCCAGGTATTACACACGTGGCAGGTAAAACAGTCTAGATTTTGTTCCCACCTCTATCACAGATTTGCTGTTATTTTGTATTCTGACATCACTGTTAACTTTGAAAATCTGAACTTCTAGGTGGTGCTCTGAAGAAGCCTGGAACCTGATTTTCTTGACTTCCACTGGATCACTGTCGGGCTCCTGGCACCTCAAGCAATCAGATTTCAGGTGTCCCAAAGCATATACCTCAAACCCAAGGCAGTCAGCTTGTGACACTTGCACAGAGCCAACTCCTTCATGCAGCAGAACTTTGAGATATGAAGAAAAACATTACACTCATCTACTATGCTGGGAACCAGCACTGAGTAAAAACCTGAGTAAAGATGAGGATGAGAGGAGACAAGTATTTTATTTTTAAACCTTATGAATTTCTTAGTAGTTCTGCTTTGGTGCTTTCCTAGAGAGGAAGGCAGGGTTGGGAAGATCAGATTTTGAAACTCGGCTCCCTCCCTGATACTACACTAAATACTTGTATTACCTTTAATAGATGTTTCTGAGTGCATCCTCATTGATTTACTCCAGCTGTGCTCTTTATGCAGGGAACATTCTATTCTCAGAGCATAATCTAGACCCATACGAACAATATAGATGTTTCCTGATAACATAATTTAGAAAAAGGAGATGTAATTGCTGCCTGTGCTGAATGCACAGCATCTCTCTGCCTGCCAGAGCACTGCAAACTCATGACCCCTTTTGGAATCCATACAGGGAGAAAAGTCCCAAATCCTTCAATGTGGTTCTCATTTTGTCATTTCCATCTTATTAAATATGCTGGTCCTTGTGCCTTTGATTTTAACTTCCTAAGGATAGCTCATGCTGAAATTATTTAGAAGGCTCTGAGAAGCTTTTAGATTAAATTCAGGGATCATTCCTGCAGAAATGTGTCTGCTTGTGGGGCACAGGACAGCAGCAACTTGGGCATCTGCTGCGGAAAAATGGGGAGGGGACCCAGAAAGTTCTTCCTTGGGTAACTTGTAATTATAAGAAGTGTAACAGAGCAGGTTCTTGTTAAGGACTTCCCTTAAATACTTGAAGAGGAGGCTGGAACTCATCTGACCTGCTCCAAAACCAGTTGGCGTGGCTGTGCATAGTCCAATTGCTGTGATTTAAAATGAGTAGTTGGAGTGCTTTTGTCTTCTAAATCATCCCACGAGCCCTGTGCTTCACTGTCTTCTCTCTTATGGAAGGATATCCAGGGTGAGACATTACAATTCAAATTTTCATCTCCAGGGTCAGATTTGTCTCAGTTCAGTAACGCCTGGAAGGCACTGCTGTGCAGTGGGGTTTGATGTGAAATAAGCACAGGTCCCTCCACAGCACAGTCAATCGAGATCCACAGCACAGAAAATCACCACTGTAATTGCTCTCTGTATCAGCTGCCCTGGGAAAATACAAAATAAAATCATAAATAAATAAAAATCAGTGACTGAATTGGCCCTGGAGACTGAGTTACTCTCCTCCTATTTAGAGAGTGGTCCCTCCTGAACACTTTTCCACATTGCAAAGCCACCATATAATGGAACAATTCCGTTCCACTGACAGCCCTGGCTAAAATAGTCCTAGAGGAAGACAGGGAAGGTGTAGGTCACTGCTAAGGTGCTTGGGAGGGCTGGCAGTGAGAACCATGCTAACACTAAGAGTTTTTCAAATTACTTCAGCGAGACCAGACTTAGCTTGCAAGCCTGGTGCAATGGCTCAGAGAGAAGCTGTTTTGTATTTTGGATTCTTGCTAATTGGGTATCAGCCTCTCCCTGTGCTCTGCAGCAGCAGCAGCTTCCCTGCAGACAGCCATGGTGAGTGGTCAGCTACAGGCTGGCTCTGGCATCCCTTGCCAGGGAAGAGGGCCCAACTCTCCAGCCTGTTTCTTTTCTTTCCTGGGATCTGACAGACCCTGAATTTAATTTTCCCTGTGATCCTGGCTAAAGCCCCATTACACATAAAAATCATGTAATGCTTTAAACTCTTTAAGCATGGCCCTCAATAGGTCTTAGTAATAAGAAATACCCATTATACTTGCTTCTCATTATCTGCATTGGACATGAGGGGAGCAGGAGTTGAGTTCAGCAACCATTGGGATTAAGAACAAGGAAACCTTTATGGAAAATAGCAGCAACCAAACGAGTTGTGAGTGAGCAGAAAACACAATCAAAGAGGGACCAATTGACAAAAATGATGCTAAATATCACTGGTATTTAGCATTAATATTTTTGTCTTTGTCTTGCCATGCATCATCCCAAATCTCATTTCTGGTGGGAGTAGACAACCCAGAGGGTTTGGTTTATAACCAGTTCAGGTTAATTCTGCAGAATGAACATGGGTGAGACTAAGCCATATAGTTCATGACATAACAACATCACTCTATTCATGATAAGAAGCCAAACTGAAGTTCAATTTGTTCCAAAAAGCACCATTTCTAAGGCAAAAGAGCAGTCAAATCAATGGCTGAGAGGAACTAGAGGTGAAAGTAGAGAAAAAGAGATATAAATACACTTGTTTTTAAACATTTTAATTTCAAGTCACAGGAAAACCATTTAATATGTGTCCTGGGGTTTCTTCAAATAGGGAAAGAAGATCAAAATACTAATCTCTGCTGACTTCCCTGTGCAGCAGCAAAAATGAGCGTGGCTCAGAAGACCGACCTGTGAGCAAAGATTAAGAGCAGCATATTTTGTATAGCTTGGTTAAGCAGCAGCCAAGAGGGACATACTGGCAGAGTGCAAAACCAGAGAAAATGGAGTATTATTTGGAAAGACAACACTATCAGGGGATGAAAACTAAAGAAAGATCAGGCAGAATGGTAAAAGTCTCTAAGACTCTGGCCTGTATTTTGAGGAATGAAAGCCACAACACTCCAAGCATACAAGGACAAGGATGAACTAAACATTGGTGTGAGGATCTTTGGATGTGACCAGTGACTTTAAGCACTTCTATTCCTGAATTTCCAAAGAAAAACACCTTTAGAAATGGGACAGCTTAGCTCATACTATAAATCATTTCTTCTTAAGCTCAGCACCCAGCAGTTGCCAATCAGTTCTTAAAATCTTGAGTGAAAAAGAAACCACAAGGAACAATCCTGTGCTCCAAGGGAATGGACAAGCTAATCTAATACATCTTTGTCATCTGTGGTTTCCATGACAGTTGCATAATCAGACATTTATGTAAGTAGAGGTTTCCTCCTTAAATAGCAGCCCATGATCTCATCTGCACCTACGGCATAACCCATTTGGATGGAAATGATGTGCCAGTCATGTGTACAACTAATTTTTTAATGCTTCTCTCTTATTTTTGTTTCTTTATAGTGGAAGAACATATTTATTTTTTTATTCTTTATTGTTGAGCCTGCAGAGTACTGCTCACACATGCTAACTCTTCTTGTTGTGGTCTTCTCGTGGTCCAGAAATAACCACAGCCCCCAGGACCAAAGAATGTCTGGGCTCACACTTGCTCAGCAATTCAGTGGGAAAAGTGATGGTGTATTGACAAATCCCAGTGCAGCACCTAAGCCTCGTGATGGTGTATCCACAAACCCCAGTGCAGCCTCCTAGAAACACAGAAGGGTTTGGATTGGAATGGGCCTTGAAGACCATCTAGTTCCAAACCCAGGGGTAGAGATACCTTCCATCAGACCAGGTTCCTCAGGGTCATATCCATCCTGGCTTGGAACATTTCCAGGGATGGGGCAGCCACAACTCCTCTGGGCAATCTGTGCCAGGGCCCCACCACCCTCACAGGGGCAAATTTCTTTCTGATATCTAAACTACACCTTTCCTGTGTCAGTTTGAAGTCAATCCTGTTCAGGTACTTCAGGCCCTTGTCCATAGTCCCTCTCCAGGTCTCTGGCACTGGAAGGGGTTCTAAGGCCTCCCCAGAACTTCTCTTTTCCACGCTGGACACCCCCAGCTCTCCCAGCCTGGCTCCAGAGGAGAGGGGCTCCAGCCCTGATCATCTCTGTGGCCTCCTCTGGATCTGCTCCAGCACATCCACATCCTCCTTATGGTGGGGACCCCAGGGACAAAGTATTTTGGGTGGGTGATTCAACACAGTCACCTTCCTCGACCTGCTGTTGAAACTTCTTGTGGTGCGCCCAAGACGTGGTTGGATTTTGGGACTGCTAATGCACATTTAGGGTCACGTCCAGCAGCCCAAGTCCTCCTCACAGCTGCTCTCACAGCAACTCTCTTCAAGCTGCTCAAACCCAGAGGCTGTGGGCTGCCATCACACCCTGCTGCAGAATTTCCAGATTTCCAAGCCATACCTTTCCCCAAGGGCTGGGGTGAAGACCACAGGAGAACTCCAGGGATTTGTCTTGGAAAATTTGGGATTTCTCAGGGTCAGAGGGAAGCTCCCAGGACCGCCCTACTCTGCTGCAGAGACTGCCTGGAAACTCCTCTGAACTCATGCAGAGTATCATAAGGCAATGCCAAAATACAGATCTCTTCCTATATGCCATATTAATTGAAATTAAGAAAAGCAGGCCCAGTCCATGAAATCTCACTCCTACTCCCATCTAAGTTCATGTAAAAAGAGTGAAGGCAAGCAAAAGTAACTGTATTTAAATCTTCATGCAGAAATTCTCAAAAACATCCCCCTTCCAAAAAAAAACTCAGCTACGTGGAAGGAGTGACTTTTATCTAAAGGCTGCAGACATCAGCAGACTAGGGAGCTGCTTCCAGTAGGCAAACAGTTCTTAATGTGGATGTCCAGGGGTATCAGACACTCTTCAAAATCTGAGGTGAGAAGCCCAGAAGCTGAGGAGTGAGTTGATCCTGAAATGTAAGTAGTTCTATTTAGACCATCCTCTTAGTTCTTTTTTGCATCACTCTGCATCAACCACTGTGCACAAAAATATGCCCCAAGCAGAGGAAAACAGGCAAGAACAGAAACATAATCCAATCTGCCAGCCTTCACAGCCTCAAATCTGTGGGACTTGTTCCAGCTTTGGATGTTGTAGCACCTTCTCTCAAAGGTATCACTAGTGAAACAAGTATATTATGCACTATTGTTTCCAGCATCAAACAACCAGCAAAAATATCTCCTCTTGCTCTTCAGCCTGATCTCACTTCTCCCACTGAAGCTGATTTAGTGACAAAGATAGAGAGAAATAGAGTGGATTGGGGTTTGCAAGTGATTGTCAATTGGATTTTGTGAGCCCAGCAGTATCTCCGAGTTGGTTTCCATTTTCCCTGAGCCCCCTGCAGCTCCTATTAGCCTCAATAACTGCTTCTAATTTTGGCCAGGACATTTGCCCAGATTTTTGAAGGAAGGGGAGTGAGTGGGGGGGTGTCTTTCCCTGGTGCAGAGGGACTCCTGCCTCCGTGCAGCAAACA